AATAAACAGCGCATCGCGCTTTCATTATTCATTTTTGCGTATTCATTATTTCAATTAAAGTTGGCGTCCGACCGTTATAACGGTCCCGCGCCACATTGGTGACCTTGACAAGTTTCGAAGTCTTCCCTCGCGTTCGCGTACGAATTCGTATCCGCCGTTTCCGCGCCGAGTGCTCCCGCGCGTTTTCGCAGTATTCGCGTCGTCGCAGTGCGCATACCCGTCGTACGAGTAGTGATTTCGTTCCGCGTTTAACCGTCATGGCCGACGAAGGAAATGCATCTAACGCCCAGAACGTCGCTGGCAACCCGAACCAAGTCGTCGAGGCTATTGCAAACATGCGACTTCCGGCTTTTTGGAAACGCTCTCCAACGCTTTGGTTCAACTACGCGGAGTCCACGTTCGTTATACATCGCGTCACTGCCAACGCGACTAAGGTTCATTTCGTCGTCAGCGCCCTAGACGAGGAAGCAGTGCGAAACATCGGCGACCTCCTAAACGCGGCCGCCTTCTATTCCGACATCCGCACGCGCCTCATCAGCGCGTATGAGGTGCCCAAAGCGCTGCTCTTCCGCGAGATCGTCAAACCCGGAGGGTTAGGTGACCGCCGACCGTCACAGCTGCTCCGCGACATGCGTAACAGTATGCCACCTGGCATAGGCGAAGACGCGTTGAAGGAATTTTGGCTACAAAAACTTCCGTCGAACGTGACCGCCATACTCGTCAGCCTCGACGCATCCTTGGACGAGCTGGCTGCGCGCGCCGACCGCATTTTGGACGTCTCCAACCCGCAGAGTGTCGACGTTCTGTCCAAGGGGCAATTTAGCGAACTGACCGACGCCGTATCTATGTTGACGCAGCAGGTCAAATCCCTCACCCAGATCGTCAACTCCGCGGAAAAGCCCTCGCGATCTCGGGCACCCGCACGCTCGGACGCGCAGCAACCGGGGGAAATGTGTTTCTTCCACACCAGGTTTGGCAAAAAGGCCCGCTCCTGCCGACCGCCATGCAGCTTCAAACGGGAGTCATGAGAAAATCCCACGTCCGCGCCCGCGGAAAACTAAGAAGCGCGCACAGGCCTCCCGCCCTGTACGTCGTCGGTAATTCCACGCGGGTACACATCAACGATCAGCGTTCCGGCAAGCTATTCCTTATTGACACGGGTGCTGAAGTTTCGGTCATACCGTATAGCTACGGCGCACACCAGCCGTCCGACTTGCACCTCACAGCCGCCAACGGAACGCGCATCAAAACATTCGGGCCTAAGACACTTGTGCTCAACCTCGGACTTTCGCGCCCCTTCACATGGACCTTCGAGATGGCTGATGTCTCACGCTCCATCATCGGTGCGGATTTTCTACACTATTTTGGCCTCCTCGTCGACGTCCGGCGCCAGCGCCTCGTCGATCCTGCCGACAAGCGAACAGTCACCAGCGCAGTGACAGCCACACCGTCGGCACGCACCGCCTTGCTCGCCGTTGCTCGCTCCCCGGATTGGGATCGATTGCTTCAGGACTTTCCAAGCGTGACCCGTGAGTCACCCGTACCTGAATCGTTCCGACACGGAGTAGAACACATCCTCGAAACCAAAGGACCGCCCCTTTTCGCGCGTCCTCGGCGGCTGCCTCCCGATCGGCTCGACATCGCGCGCCGCGACTTTGAGCTAATGCAAAAACAGGGGATTTGCAGACCGTCATCCAGCGCGTGGGCCAGCCCTCTGCTGTTGGTACCCAAGAAGGACGGGTCTTTTCGCCCATGCGGTGATTACCGCCGCCTGAACAGCGTCACCGTTCCAGACCGGTACCCGCTGCCCTACCTGCAGGACTTCACCGCCAACCTTGCAAAAAAAACCGTCTTCACTAAGCTTGATCTGGTCCGCGCCTACAATCAAGTCCCGATCGCTGCTGGTGACATCCACAAAACCGCCGTGACAACACCGTTCGGTCTCTTCGAATTTCCGGTGATGTGTTTCGGCCTGCGCAACGCCGCACAGACCTTCCAAAGGTTGGTCAACACTGTTCTCGCCGGCCTCGACTTCGTTTTCGCTTACGTCGATGACGTCCTCATCGCCTCCGCGGACGCCGACCAACATGCCGAACATGTCCGCACCGTGCTCGGCCGTTTCGAAGAATTCGGGGTAGCCATTAATCCGGCGAAGTGCGTTTTCGCCGCGAGCGCGCTCACCTTTCTCGGACACGTAGTCGACGCACAGGGTTTGCGCCCTAACCCGGACAGCGTCGACGTCATACGCCGATGGCCGCAACCNACAGGGTTTGCGCCCTAACCCGGACAGCGTCGACGTCATACGCCGATGGCCGCAACCGAGCACCAAAAAAGAGTTACAGCGCTTTCTCGGGTCATTGAATTTTTACCACCGATTCGTTCAAGGCGCCGCCAACGTTCAAGCACCACTGTACGATATTTCCACCGCAGTTAAAAAAAAGGACGGCCCACTCGCGTGGACTGACGCCGCCCGGAAAGCATTCGTGGCCTGCCGAGAGGCACTCGTTACCTCCGCGCTTTTGGTACACCCACAGCACGACGCACCGTTGCGCCTCACCACAGACGCTTCCAACATCGCGGTCGGGGCAGTCCTGGAGCAGTCCGTCGGCAATGAATGGCAGCCGCTCGGATTTTTCTCGCGTAAACTCTCCGGCGCGCAGTCACGGTACAGTGCGTATGATCGTGAGTTGCTCGCAGCCTACCTAGCCGCACGGCATTTCGTACACGCGATCGAGGGCAGGCTCGTCACGCTCCGCACGGACCACCGCCCGTTACTCTTCATGTTCTCGCAAAAAGCCGAGAAACTCATCGACCGTCAAGCGCGGCACGTCGCGTTCCTGTCACAGTACTTCCACGAGGTCGAGCACGTCAGCGGCGAACTCAACATCGTTCCCGACGCGCTGTCACGTCTGGAGTTGGCCCCCCTCGACAACGGGCTACCTGACCTGGATCAATGGGCGGCGGACCAAGCCAACGACACCGATCTGCAAGACATCCTCTCCGGGAAGACAGAGTCGTCGTTATAACTAGACGCGCGGCAGACGGCGAACGGACCGGTCTATTTCGACGTTGCTTATAACCGGTCGAGGCTTTTCGTTCCGCGTCGACAGCGTCGCGCGGTCTTCAACACCTTACACCGGCAGGCTCTCGGTGGCGGTTCGGCCACAACTACGCTAATCGCGCGACGTTTCGTGTGGCCCGGTATGAACCGAGAGATACGACGATGGGTCAAAACGTGCGAACAGTGCCAGAAGTCGAAGGTACACAGACACACCGCGACACCGCTCGCCGTGTTCACGGCACCGGACCGACGTTTCGGCCACATTCATTTAGACCTGGTCGGCCCACTGCCCGTTTCGGACGGCGCTAGGTACCTCCTCACCTGCGTCGACAGATTCACGCGTTGGCCCGAAGCTTGGCCCGTCGACAACATGACCGCTCACACCGTCGCGTCCACACTGGTAACCAACTGGATCGCCCGCTTCGGGGTGCCGGACGTCATCACCACAGATCAGGGGCGACAGTTCGAGTCCGACTTGATGCGCGCGCTCAACTCGACTTTCGGGATCCAACATGTTCGCACGTCCCCCTACCACCCACAGGCTAACGGGCTGGTCGAACGCTTCCACAGGACTCTAAAGGCGGCGCTCACCGCGCAGGAATCACCGCACTGGTCTCAGCTACTACCCATCGTCCTCCTGGCCTTGCGCAACACCGTCAAGCCGGACTCTGGCGCAACACCTGCGGAACTTGTTTTCGGGGCGACCCTCCGCCTTCCTGGTGAGTTGTTCCACTCCGCGCCCCCGGAGGCAAAATCGCCAGATTTCGTCACGGCACTGAAGTCATCCATGGCCGAGCTTCGACCGTCGCCCGGATCTAATCACGACCCGGCCCGTCGTATTTTCGTCCCTACACAGCTAGACTCCGTCAGCCACGTTTTCGTCCGCGTCGACGCGCAGCGCGCTCCTCTTCAACCACGATACGAGGGACCCTACGCCGTGCTGGACCGAAAAGAAAAGGACTACAAGCTGCAGCTGGGCAATCGAACATCGTGGGTGTCAGTAGACCGGCTCAAACCTGCCTTCGTCCTCCGCGAGGATCCAGCCCTGGACCACTCATACGCCATGCAGTCCGTAGATAGGTTCTCGACAGCGAAAAAACCTACGTTTTTTTCTCCTTCGTCGGGGGGGAGTGATGTGGCGAACCGACGCCACATGACCTCCCTCCGCCGTCAGTAGGTACCGCATATCTTTATTGTACAACGGTTGGTCACATTGCTTGCACCGGCCGACGGCCTCCGCGTCGCCGCAGCGGCTGGCTCCTTTCTCTTTCGTTTTGTCCGCACTACGATACACACGTACTCGCCGACGCAGTTTTAGTCACGCCATTTTGTTGCCGTGTATCAAAGCCCCGTTTCGCAACCGACGCGACCCCGAAAAGCACGTGACCAGCCGTCACTTACCGATCACCGATCGTACTCGCCCTCGCTTCTGTTTTTCGACGTCTAGTCTCATTGTGAACCAATAAACAGCGCATCGCGCTTTCATTATTCATTTTTGCGTATTCATTATTTCAATTAAAGTTGGCGTCCGACCGTTATAACGGTCCCGCGCCACACTGTATTTAAACGCTCCTCATTCACTATCAACTATCGTGCATGCACGATAGTGCGAGAGTCGCATTCGCGATAGTTCGATAGTCACTATCGATCTGTTCGCACGATGACAGTTTCTTGATAGTAGCTCTCACGGTAGTAACTATCACGTTTTACTATCACAGTGTGACCGCGGCTTTACTATCAAAGATAATATCATACATGATAGTTGATCATGTATTTGTAATATTCGTATATTATAAAAATGTGTTTTTTTTTATTTAAATCATAGTTTTTTAAAAGCAATTTATAGCTTTAGAATTGTATCAAAAATCAAAATGTCAGACGAAGTGATATACAGAATTATTCGCGTGATTGAGGAGTTAATTGCCGTTAAAAGAAAAAGTGAAAGAAAAAATAGAATATGGGTAAAGAATTGGATTCTTAGAAGATGAAGTTTAGGGGCCTCAAATTGTCTCTTAAGAGAACTGTCCACGGAAGACACTAAAAGCTACAATAATTTTCTTAGAATGGACGAAGATATGTTCGATTTTTTACTCAACAAGGTATATTATGATTATGTAAATATTACTACAAGTCTACAAGTATTTTAGTTAATTCTATATTAAGTCACTTAATAATCACAATTCACAAATATATTTATATATTGATGCTTCTTTAACAGGTATCTTGTAAAATTCAAAAACGCAATACTGTTATGCGAGATGCATTACCAGCTAAAGTCAAATTAGAAGTTGCATTAAGGTATCTAGCAACTGGTGATTCATTACAATCAATGGAATACCTGTATAGAGTGTCGAAATCAGCTATAAGCATGTTTCTACCAGAAGTTTTTGACGCAATATATGAAGGATTGAAAGAATATATCCAGGTATTATTGGAAGTATAAATTAAATATTAAATTATTAAAATATTATAACAATTATAAAAATTTAGGTTTATTAAAAAAAACAAAATTTTGGTTTAACTAACATTAAATTTAAATAAAAATTGAAATCCTTTCATTAAACAAATAACATAAGATATAAACCAACATTAAATAAAAATTGAAATCCTTTCATTAAACAAATAACATAACATAATATATACAATTTTGTTGATAAAAAAAGCAATAGAACTACTAACTAATTGATACTTAAATCAACAAGATATAATTATTATAAATCTTGCCAATTGTTATAAAACAATGTAATTGTATTGCTTGAATCATCTTGTTCATAGTTATAGGATGGTGATTTTATAATAGTTGCGTTCTTCTTTGCTACTGGTAGAGGTTTAACCATATCCACATATGGTTCCGATTGAACTGAGCAATCAAACATGTCTTGAGACATAGACATTTCACTTGGAATTGGACTTTGACTTGTACTTGTATTACTCATATTATTGCTATTAGGAGTATTATTCATAAGGCAGTAGTTAACA